CAATAGGGCTGGCCCCTGGGCCCTGAACTGCAGGCCACGCCCACTCTCGACTGGTGGATCTGGTCTACAACCAGGCTGCAAACTCCAGGGATTCCTCCTCTCCCTTTTCTCCAGACCCCAGCCCCATGCTGGGCCCACATACTCGGGCAAGCTCCCTGCTTTCGAGAGGCTAAGTTTGCCCAGCTGGGCTGTCCCAAGGTGTAGGTTCTTGTGGGCGGGGGAGGGAGCACAGCCCTAGATTTTCGCCTCTGCTGAACTTCTACCCATCCCTTCAAGACCCACCTCCAATCTGCCCAGTCAAAATCCACTCCCCTCCTCCCTGGCCCTACAGCCTTGTACAAGTACTATAACCACCAGCAGCCGACACCCTGCCTCGGTTTACTTGGTTACTTGCTTACTTGGTTGGGAACAGGCCTCCTCGCCTCCCATCCTTAAAGCCTGGCATCGTGGAGAAGCCACGGTCTACCATGTGTCAGCCGCGGGAGGTGGGGATCACGTGCTTAACCTCTTCGGTCCCGGGTTCCCTCATCGGAACCAGGAGGCCAGCAACCTTTGCCTGCAGGGCTGTCAGAGGGGGAACGTGGCACGCGGCTGGCCTAGAATCATTGCTCACAGCAGCCAGACTTCTAAAACAAGCCATCTGGGGCGCCTGGGTGGCTCACTCGTTGGGCGTCTGCCTTCGGCTCGGGTCGTGATCCCAGGGTCCTGGGATCGAGCCCCGCATCGGGCTCCCTGCTCCGCGGGAAGCCTGCTTCTCCCTCTCCCACTCCCCCTGCTTGTGTTCCCTCTCTCGCTGTGTCTCTCTCTGTCCAATAAATAAATAAAGTCTTAAAAAAAAATTAAAAAAAAATTAAAACAAGCCATCCACCCTTGCTGGCTCTCTTCTCACCTCCCACGCACACCTCCATCCCCAGCAGCATGGCTTCCATCTCGAAACTGCCTGTGGCCAGGGCACGCAGCCCCGTGCCCTGCACAAGCCCAGCAGCCCTCAGTCCTCCTACTTCTCTGCCTCCAGGCCCCCACCGCCCATCCCTTCCTAGGGCCTCAGCTGCATCCATTCATGTGCTTCGGGTCCCTTACACCCAGACCCCTGTCCTCGGCTGACCTGCATGCGCCGGCGTGCCCCTGGACGGCCCACCTGCGCGTCTCGTGGGCACAGGCAGCATGGACACTTGCAGCTCGCTCACCCCACCTGGACTCACCTTCACCGCTCCCCTGGCTCAGACCAGCTCTCTCCACCTCTCCGCATGTGTTAGCAGATGTCCCCCCCCCAGACACACAAGCGCACGGCATTCACTTCCTATCACTTCTTAACAAACTGCCACAACACCGTCGCTTCAACGCCACCCGTTTATTATCTCACAGTTCCGGAGATCAGGAGTCCTACAAATCAAGGTGTCGGCAGGGCTGAGTTCCTTCTGGAGGCTAGCGGCAAGATGCTCCTTCCTTGCCTTTTCTAGCTCCTAGAGGCTGCCTGCGTTCCTTGGCTCCTGGCTCCCTCCTCTATCTTCAAGGCCAGCGGGATAACATCTTCCCATCTTTTCTGAGTCTGACTCTCTTGCCTCCCTCTTATAAAAATGCTTGTAATTCCAAGGGGCCCACCCTGATAATCCAAGATAATCTCCCTATCTCAAGAACCTTAATGTAATCCCCTCTGGAGAGTCCCTTTGGCCATAGACGAGGACATATACATGGGATCCAGGGCTTAGGACATGGCCATCCTCAGGGGGGTCATGATTAGGCCTACTGTACTTCCCTCCCTCCAACTGCTCTGAGCCTCTAGGATATCCCTCCAGTGACAGAAAAGATGTTGACCCACCTCCCTTCCGTAGGCAACGTCTCCATCTGAACCTTCTTGGTGATAGAACAGCTTGTCCACCATGCCTCATCGCTCCTCTAGCTTCAACTAGCCCTCCAGGAGGACCCCCCAACCAGGTTTTTCAAGGAAGTTAACGTCTTTCTCTGAACAAAGCTCCCTGCCCCCCATGTCTGCCTGCAGCCATCCCCTCCCAACTCCTGTCTCTCCTCCACTGATCTCACCCAGCTCTACTGGTCACCCGGGTTCTAAGAGCGTTCCCGTCTGGCCACTCTCTCGAAGGGCTTCACCACAGCACCATTGGCCACTGAGGCCGGACCATTCTTTGTTGTATGAGGCTGTCGCGTGCATTATGAAAGGTTCAGCAGCATCCCCGGCCTCTGCTTCTAGATGCCAGTAGCGGATCCGCCCCCCCCCCCCCCCCCCAGTTGTGACGGCCAAAAATGTTTCCAGATGGTACCAGACATCAGGGGCAGCGCGGGGGAGCCAAGGGCCCCAGGTCGAGAACCACTGTCTGACAGGAACAGTTCTTGCTAAGGTGGCCAGTGACTTCCCCGGCACTAAATCCGACGGACACTTCTGAGCCCTTCTCTTGTTGGCTGTTCTGGCCTCCCCACCTCTCGGGCTGCAATTCCTGTCACCCTTGCAGGATCACGCTCCCCTCCTGGACCGCTAACGGCTGACGTTCCTCAAAGCTTCCCCCAGGCCCTCTCCACCTCTCGTTCACCTGTCCTCCCTGGGGGCTGCCCTCCACAACCCCGGCCCCAGGGACCCCTGTACACAGGTGACTCAGGCGGTGACACCTCCAAACCTGCTCTCTAAGCTCCGCACCCATGTAGCTAACTGCCCAGTTGACAGGGCCATTGGGGACCTTGCCATCACTCCCAACTCAGCGAGTCCAAAACCAGGATGGGGATCTTGCCCTCCGCCTAGGCCCCGCCCTGCATTCCACTTCTCAGAGATACCTTCCTGACCTGCTGAGAGCGGAACACTGAAGGACTTGTTCTGGCCAATTCCCTCTCCCTTACCTAGGCCGATCAATCTGTTTCCAGAGATCACTCTTGCTCATGCTGAAAGAGGTCACAAACCAGTCCACCTGTCTCCATGTCGCCACCCCACCCTAGCTCAAGCCTCCACTGTCACCGATGTAGAGAACGACTGTAGCCCTCTAACCGGGCTGCGGGTATCCATTCTCCACCAACGCCCCCACCCCTGATCTGTTCGCCAGGCTGCAGCCAAAGTCACCCTTTCAAAACATAAACGAAACTTCTCATTGTCCTTAAAGAGCAAAAGTCTCAGTTTGGTCTACTGGGCCCTATACATCCAAGCTTCTGTCTCCCCCTCCCAGCCCGTGTTTGCTGCACTCCAGGCACGATGACCTTCTTCTAGTTATGCAAACGTGCCATCTTCTCTCCTGCCACAGGGCCTTTGCACATGCTGTTCTGTCCATCTGGTAGGTATTCTCTCCCCTCAATCACAGCTCCACCGTCGGGAAGCCTTCCCTGACTTCTGGCCACATCAGTTCCTCTGACTGTTCCCTTTTCTCCTAGCCTCACTGTCTCTTCATCACCTGAGTCATGATTTTACATTTACTTATCTTATTCTTTGATTCATTGCAGCTTCCCCACAATAAGCTCTATGAGGGCAGGACTGATGTCTGATCTAGCCCATCGCTCTATCTCCAAGGCCAGTTCAATGCTTAGCACAAAGAAGCCCCACAAGAAGGGTTTAATTAATGACTAATGAATGATCTTGTTACTCCCTAGCCCAACTTTCTCTACTGGCCCCACCTTCCTCCATCTCTGTTCAAGCTTGACTCCTGAGAGTCGAGAGTCATCCCTAACAATCCTTCCTCTTCAGATCTTTACAAACTCTCTTTCTCATTTCCACATCCCATCCATTAATAAATCTCAGAGATTCTCCTTCCTAAGTCTCTTGCAAATGTGCCTGCCTCTAGCACCTGAGTTGAAACCAGCATCTTTTCTGACCTGAGCCCCCCACCCAGGCCTCCTACCCATCCCAGTTTTCCATTCTGCAACCTAACCTCCCCATTCTGCAAGGCCTCTGCCTAGCCCGCTTCAGTGGCTTCCCCTGGCCCGCGGGATGCACTTACCCTGACTTATGAAACGTAGCGTGATCTGCCCCTGCCTCCTTCTCTGCTGATTTCTCACCACGCTGACTCGGGCTCATTGCTAGCACCACACCGGACCCGTTGGAGTTTCTCTCGCTCAGCTGCTCTGTGTGCCTACAGCATTCTTCTGTGCCCCGTCCCCCAACTGCTACTCATTCCTCAAGTCTCAAGCTGAAGGAAATCCTGCCCAAGCCCCTCAAGTAGGCCAACGGCAACAATTATAATAGCTGATATTCACCGCATGCTTCCCGAAGGCAGGCACGGATCTAAAAACTTCATAGTATTGACCTATTTCGTTTCCACCATCAACTATGATAATTCTGTTACAGAACAGGCACAGAGAAGTTAAATGATTCATCGAAGGTCACATTTGATAGTAAATAGCAAAGCGGACTGACATAACGAACTTGGGCTCTAGGCCCCAGATCCCCGAGCACCACGAACACCACCATCTCCCTCTGCTCCTAGAGTGTCCTGTCCTCCCCACTTCCGTAGCAATGATCACATGTGCACGTACCTGTCCAGTACCTGTTCTCCCCACCAGACCGTCCACTCCCTGAAAGCAGGGGCCATGTTCTCCGGCACCCAACCCAGCACCCGGCATCACTGCTCTTTGGGCTGAATGCCATGCTCTGCATTCCCACAGCCCCCAGACCCAAGTCACCCACTCCAGAGGAGGGCCCAGGTCAACCCTTTGTAAATGCCACAGAATGGCCCGCCAGACACACACACACACACACACACACAGGAACATTCACGGGGAAATCGCCCTGAGTTCTTCCCTTCCTGGCTGGCCGGCCATGGGCTCCCTAGGGCCCCACCACTGATTCTGCCGCGCCAGCCAGATGGGCCCCTCAGCATGGCCCTCAGCCACCCAGGGTGGCAAGCCACTCAGCCAGGGCAAGGGGATAGCGAGATCCGTCATCCCAGCATCCCGGAGTGATGGCAGAAAAGCTCTCGGGGCCAGACTGGGCCAGCGTATGGCTCCCCCTGCTGGTTTCCTTCCACGCTCGCTAGCACCCTCTCCCGCGGCGCAGGCCAGGGAACACTCACCAGCCAGGAGAAGCAGCCAGCTGATTTGTCCTGGGTGGAGATCTGCCCCTCATAGGGGCCGAAGATGTGGCCCTTGGGGATGACCTCATTTATGCATCGCACGTCATTCTCCCCACTGGCTTCCTTGACCACCTCCATGCCCTGCGGGATGGTGAGGGCAGCCCTGTCTGGGATGCCCACGGGCACTGGCGTGTCGGACACAAACACTGGGGGACCGTGGTTCGGGCACTCATCCACAAAGTACTCCTGGCAGGACTCGCAGACTGAAGGGACGGAAAGAGCGAGAGAGCCTCAGTTGCTGCAGGGAGGCAGGACGCCCACGGCGGAGGCTGAGGGGCTCCAGGGAGGCCCACCCTGAGGATGGCATCGAGCAGTGAAGAGTACACTGCGTGGTACCCAAGAGTCCCGGCCCTGGCTCCACCCCAGCCAGCCACAGGCCCCCGAGTCTTCAGTGGTAAAAACCCATTACCCTCCCTGGGGGCTCAACGGACAGGCCCGCCAATGCGGAGGAGACCAGGAGCTCCCTTTGTTTTAAGTTTACAGCGCAGCTTTGGAGTCAGATGGGTCTGGGTTGGAACTGCAACTGTGTGCATCTGAGGTCTGTGGGACCCGAGGCAGGGTCCTTAGCCCCCACCAAGCCCCGGTATCCTCACCTGGAAGATGGGGCCAATAAGAGCCACCTCAGTGGTTCAGGGTGAGGGTTAACGGAAGCCTGGACCCGTGTCTGATACATCATAGGCGAGTGCCTATCATTAGTCTTAGGCTGCAAATTCCCTAAGCAGAGGTGGGGTGGGGGAGGGGGGGCGGGAGCAGGGTGAAGGGGTGAAGGTAGGAGAAAGCCAGGAACAGCCCCAGGCTCCACTTACACCAGAAGTCCACTTGCTGGAAGCTTTTGGGCATGATGAGCTCACGCTTTCCCTTCAGTTTCTTGGGCTCCATTTCCATGGTTGAGGGGTCTGGTCTCCTAGAGCTGGCCAGGCCAGGGGCCAGGAAAGGAAGCAAAGAAGCCATCAGAGAGTGGGAGGCTGGTGGACAGAGAAGCTGAGGACCCGGCCAGGAGGCCACGGGGACTCGGGGATGCGCGGCGGGTGGAGGAGTCCCAGCTGGGCTGCCTGCTCAGTGCAGGGGATCGTGAAAAGGTAGGAGTTCTGAGACCTGGGCCTAGGCCTTCTAGGGCCACTGCGTGGGTTCTTCTAGTCTTCTAGAGACTGCGCTCGCTCATGTCTGCTCCCAGGAGCTGCCCAGAGCAGGTGAAGGACGGTGGGCCAGGAGTGGGAACTCTCCCCAGGGCGTCCAACCAACCCAGCCCTGAGATTCCCCACTTCTCCCTCTCCTGCCCCCACACAAGGGCCTCACCAGGGCTGGCCATACTCCTGGTCTCGGAGTGGTGAGCAGACCTCGGTCTTCACCACGGTCACCATATCCCCCACGGCCGCCTTGGTCTGCGCCAGGCACTCCTTCATGTTGTCAGTCATTCTGTCCTGGGGACGCGAAGGCGGGTCCAGCACAGGAAGAGGATCAAAGAGACAGGGGAAGAAGGGTGAGTGTCAGAGAGGGCAAGCGGGGGTCCAGTGGAATCTCGTTACCCTCCCTGCCATCCCCAGAGGAAGCGCTTGAGAACAGAGACAACAAAAACAGCTGTAGCCCGGCCAAGAGGAAATGCCATTTCTATCCCGGGCTGGTCCTGGGGACGACTGGAGCCACCAGCCCCACGGGGTCAGAGGCCGACGCGCAGCTCAGGCCAGGGGGCAAGCCTGGATAGCACAGCCTGGACCCCAAGACCAAAGGGCAAAGGGTATGAGGAATCCACAGGAATCTCCACACAAGAGTCTGCAATGGGGAGCAGGGGAGGGACGACTCAAGTCCAGCTGGGGCCAAGGGGGACTGGCAGATGAAACGGGCCCCTTAGCGCCCCGTCGCGCAGCCCCCTCACCCAGAGGCTGCCAGGGAATGCAGCCAGGCCCGCTTTGCCCGCTCAGGGCAGGTACAGGCGGGGCCTGGGGGTCCTGGTGCGGGTCGGCGGGCCAGCCTTGACTCCAAACCCCACCCGCTCTGTCTAGGGGAGTCTCCCCAGCCCGCCGCTTACCGCCCTCCTCCACCACCGCGCCGGGCTTCAGCCCCTCCCTCGGCACCCCGGGGTCCTCATGCCAAGCCCAGGGACACTCTTCGGGCCAGGGTGGCGCGCGGCTCTGGCTGGGACCGCGCTCGCGGCCCGGGACTGGGCGAACAGCGTGTGTGACTCACTACCCGGGGCCCCGCTGGCCACACCCCTGCTCCTCGGCTAATCAGCCCCCTGCTCCCCACCGGGGCCCCAAAGCCGGCGGCGGCTGGGAGGGGTGCGGGGAAACACGACGGCCTGCCCCCTCCTCGGAGCCGGCGGGGCCGGGGGGCGCGCGGAGGGGGGCGGGGGCTGCCCGGGCGGGCCGAGCCGCCCCGCCCCGGCCCCCCCGCCCCCGCAGCCCCGCGGAGCTTCCCGCCCGCGTGTCCGGCGGGGAAAGTGTGAGGTCCCGCGGCCGGGCGCAGGGGCGGCGCGGGGGGCCGGGGAGGGCGCGGGCCGCTCTCTCCCTCTCACCAACCTTCCCGGCGGGGAGCTCCCTGCCCTGCCCGGCCCGGCCCTGCCCAGCGCCGCCCCCCGCCCGCCAGGCCCGGCATTCCTTGCGGGGGCATGTGGCTTCTTGCCGGCCCCGGGGGCACGCAGTTGGCTGGCGGCCGGGAGGGGGGCGCGCGGGGAGCGGGAGGGAGAGGGCGCCCGGGAGGGGCGGCGGCTGGGGGCCCGCCCGGGGGGGGAGTGCAGCCCCCCCGAGGGCCGGGGGGCGCCGGGCGGGCGTCTGGGGCGGCGGGGACCACGGGGGATGGGGGCGGGGCCGGGCCGGGCCCGGAGCGGGCGGGCGTGCGGAGCGGGTCGGCGACGTGCGCGGGCGGCCCCCCGCGCTCCCTCCCTGCGGCCGCAGAGGACTCGGCGTGGCTTCGGGGGGGCCTGTGGCGAACGGGGCGACACCACCGATCCCTGCCCGCCGGGCGCGCCGCACGCCGCCCCTTTCCCACCTGCGCGGTCCAGGGTGGGAACCGGGCGCCTGCAGCGGTGGGGGGTGGGAGGGGGCACCGACCTCCTGGCCCACGGAATGGCCCCCAGCGGCCACCGGTCAGGGAACAGGGGTTGAGGTCACCGAGGCAGGAACACAGGGCAGGAAGATGTGGAGGGACTCCCCCAAGGTCACGCAGTCCATTCCTGATGGAATCCAGACTGGAGCCTGGGGCCTGCTCTGAGTAAACTGCAAACAGGAGAACCCCCAGATTCAAGCATTATGTTTCAGGTCTGGTTCACCTCCATGCCACCCTCTCGGCCCAACTTCTTCCAGAAGGATCACCAGGATCACCCTGGGGTGGGATCAGGCCAGGTGGGGACAAGGTCCTATGGATTTGTAAAGGATCATTGAACACTTCTTCCCAGAGGAGCACTTCTCTCTCAGACGGGCAGCATTCACATACAACACATCCTGAGGTAGTTAAGTCTGGTTGTTAGAGGCCTAGGTCCCCAAAGGGGCACTGCCTATGTTCAAATCCCAGTGATTGGCTGTGTGACCCCTGGCAGGTGTTAGGGACTGAAAGTTTGTGTGCTCTCCCACCCCAATTCATATGTTGATGTACTAACCCCTAATGTGACTATATTTGGAGACAGGGCCTGTGAGGAGGTGATAAAGGTTAAATGAGGTCATAAGGGTGGAGCCCTAATCCAAAAGGAAGAGACACCAGAGCACACGTGCTCTCTCTCTCTCTCCACCAGGCTGAGGACGAGACCGGCATCAGTGTGCAAACCAGGAAGAGAACCAGCAATCCGGTTCCTCCCCGGGAACCGAATTGGCTTGCACCTTGTTCTTGGACTTCCAGCCTCCGAAATTGTGAGAAATAAATCTTGTTTAGGCCACCCCATCTATGGCATTTTGTTAGGGCAGCCTGAGCCGACTGAGACAGCGGGTTATCCAGCTTCTCTATGCTCCCATTTGTTTATCTGCAAAATGTGGCCCACGTTAGATTCTATCACAGACATTGCCATATGGAAATGGACGAAGATGAGTTTGGAGGGGTTAGGCACGGTCTCTTGCATATCTGCACATGAAAAAAGCTGATCAGGAAGGTGGGTATGAGTGACCTCATTAAGGGGTGGCTCTGAATTCTCTTCATTGGATTGGATTTGGGTTTTTTTAGTCAATCATTTGCAGACTCTGGCACTTTATTAGAAACAGACTGCTTGGACCATTTTGCATTTCTCCTGCTCTGGCCCCTCCATCCTTCACCAGCACGCCCTCCCCCTGCCCACCCCCACCACATCCACCCTACCATGGCACCTGTGAACTTGCTGTGTCCTCTACTCTGGGCACACCTGAAAAACTCCTACGGATCCTTCAGCCCTCACTGTTGTTCCCCACTCCACCCCCACCATAATACCCTCTCCAGCCCCGTGTCCCTTTCCTTATGGCACTTGTCACCCTTAGAATGGTCTTTTGTTAGCATGATTATTTGATCAATACCTGTTTCCCATAATAGATGATAAGTTCCATGAGGGCAGGCACTTTTGCTCACCACTGAATAGCCAGGTGCCTGGTACCAGGGCAGAAGTAGTGAAAGACAAGCAACTCGTGAGGGCATAAACTTTAAGGAGACACCCCCTCTTGGGTTCTGCATCTGCAGGAATGGCACCTGAAAGTGAACGCGTCCTTGAATTTGGCACCTTAGCTGCCTTCTTGCCTCACCCTAGTCTCAGCCTTGCCTAGCACATAGTGCATTCTCAATATTTACCAAATGAATGACCAAATGACCCATGTCGCAATTCACCACCCCCTTTAATAGGTCCTGCTGGCCCCACTGAGAATCTCAACTCTTAAAGAGATCTCAGAAGGGAAGACAGGGTGGGTGGGTTATTGTTTTGAATCCTCTTCTCTTCGGGGTGCTCTCAGTGATCTTGGCCGGTGGGTTGTCCGGTGGGTGAGGCTGGCTTTGAGAGGCAGTGAGGTGCAGCAGAGAGTGTGATGGGTTAGACTCATGAGTCCTGGACCTGAACGTGACAGGAAGTCATAGAGTGTATGCTGTGAGCATGTGCACATCACTTAAACTCGCCAGGCCTTAGTGTCTTCCTTGGTAAAGTGAAAATCGTCATAATTGCCAGGTAATCCCCAGGAGGAATAAATGAGGTAAAGGCTGGGGCGAGGTCTTGGCAAGAGCCAGTGCTGCGGGTCTGTAAAGGATATCAGTATTAAGCTGGCCGCCCAGAGGCAAGGGGTGGGCAGGAAGAAGATGCGGGGGCGGGGGGGGGCACAAAAAGAGGAAGGGAATGAGGGAAAAGAAGTAGTTAGAGAATAAAGGATGGAGGAGAAGAGGGAGAGAAGGGAGGGAGAGCGAAGAAAAGAGACAAGGAGCCACTTTTCTAAGTCTTAAACGGAAAACCATCCCCTCTAAGAAAAGCATTCATTTGTATCTCAAAGTAGAGATGTCTACTGGCCATTTCCTTTCATGTCTTATTTTTCATTTACATTCCACCTTCATCACGTGAAAGAATCGTGATGACTTGAAACACAAACACATAATACTCAACAGAGATTTCATGGAGAGAGATTGATGCCAATTATACCAAGAATCTGTTGTAAGATGGCTAGTGATCTAGCCGCCTGTTCAGTTCTGAGCTTCCTGGCAGCTAGAGCAAAAAGGGAAATACGATGGGTTACAGAGTACTCAGTATTTGACACTTACTTACTGACTGCACAGTTAAGTTCTCTCCATTCTTGGAAGAGTCCAGCTGCCTGGTGAACCAGAACCCAGCCTCACTTGCATGACTGATGGGCTTTACAACTCCCTTCTGCGTCTGTACTGAAGGCTGTGGGGGCAGGGTGGGATGTGGCAGGACTTCCATTTGGGAAGAGAGGGAGAGAGAACACCCCAGGCTAGTGTCCTTCATTGGGTCCATCTCAGCGGGCACGGTAGAGCCTGAGCCAGCTGAAGCTCCAGCAGCTGTTTCTGCAGTCTGCTCTGGACCTGTTCACCCGCTGAGGGGCTTGGGGGAGGGGTGGTCAGCAGGCCTCATGGAGCTCCAAGCTGCTGGCAATGCTCCCTCTCAGCTGGCTCCTCTGAGTCTGCACACGCAGAGATTAGGCATGTTGCAAACCCAGCAATGAGATGCAAACCCAAGAGGAGGGGGCAGAATGCAACTCAGGAGGCAGCAGCTCTGTTTTCACCCTTGGCGGGGTGCCAGGGTCCTGGAATGCCCGGCAGCCAATGTGGCCTGAGGACTGGGAATCCGTGCCCACTTGGTTTCTCTCGCGGCTGGCACCCTGAGAATGTGACGGGTCCGCTCCGGGACCAGCACGGCATCCTGTGTTGTTGCCTCTGATAACCAAGGGACAGTAGATTAGAGGGCTGGCCCAAGTCACACAGGGACCCAGGCTGGGTATCCCAAGCTCTGGGTGTCAGTCCTGGCTGTGCCGTAAGTTTTTTAGGTGACCTCGCGCCAAGTTCCTTCCTGCCTTGCCCTGAGCCTCAGTCTCCCCTTCTTGAAGAATAAAAGGTCCAACACGGTTCTTAACGTAAACCACAGTGGTAATGGAGGAAGAGCATAGAATTATTACAGGGAGTTGTTGAATTAAATGCTCAGCAAGCACTGCCTATAAACAGAATGAATTATATGCCTTTAATTTACATGTAAGACAGATTTGTAAATGTATGTGGATACTTTTAGGATGAACAAATGATACATTTATTTTAAAATGTTACTGAATTCATAGAAGCCGAATGTCACCATGCCTTTGGTTAATCAAATGATACCAGCACAGCGACTTACAAGCTATGTAACCTGGAGAAAATGAACCACTCCTACCTCAGTTTCCCCATCTGTCCAATGGGACTGAGGTCAGAACCTATCTCATAAGGCTGTTTTACACAGCATAACGCCTGGCGTATAATAAGCACTCCATAAGTATGAGTTCTTATTATCATTCAATTTATTTGTTGTTTTAAAAGTAGAGCAGGCATCAGGTGGGCACATTGATGAAAAAGTTTTGACATTAAAAAGGGGGCCTTTATAAGCAGTTACTACCTTTAGGAGAGAAACACTTTTAAAAAATCTAAACTATAAAGATGCTCATCCCAATAGAAAAAAATGGAAAATAATATTAAAAAAGCAATTTATAGAAGAAGACAAATGGCCAATATGCCTTATGGAAAACCACAAAACTTTAATACCCAAATAAATATAGATTAAAATAAACATCATTTTTCCTCTATTAAGTTAGCAAAGATTAAAAAATCTCACTAATTTTGCAGGTTGGCAAAAGTGTGGAGGAACTACTCTACATACCCTCCTGGTTGGAAAAATTAATTGGTACAACCTTTTTGGAGGGCGATTTAGCCACACATATCAAAAGACTTGAAATGAGCAAAACATTCGTAGGAGCAACCCCATATCTAGGAATTTCTCCTAAGGACATAATTAAGTTGTGTGCAAAGATGTACCCCCAAGGCTATCCTCCGCAACACTATTTTTAGTAACAAACAACAACAACAACAACAACAAAAACACCAGGGAAAAATGTACACCTTGAAAACAGGAGAGAAGTTCATATAGAGCACACAGTGAAATATTAGACAGCAATTAGCAATGCTTTAGAAGAATATTTATGGACATGGAAACACATGCTCAACACACTGTTAATGAAAAGTGAAAGTCACTAAGTGAAAGAAGATAATTTGAAAGGCTCCCTGCTGTATGATTCCAACTATAGGACATTCTGGAAAAGGCAAGACTATGGAGGCAGTAAAAAGTTCAGTGGTTGACAGGGGTTAGCAGGAGGGAGGGATGAATAGGCAGGAGCACAGAGGATTTGGAGGGCAGTGAAACTACTCTATGTGATAACCATAATGGTGGACACATGTCATCATACGTTTGTCTAAACCCATAGGATGTCCAGCAGCAACAGGGAGCCTTGATGTAAACCACGGACTCCAGGCGATAATGATGTGTTGGTGCAGTCCATCAGTTGTAACCCCCACATCGGGGGCAACAGCGGGTGTGTGGGGACAGGGGGAATGTGAAAACTACACTTTCCCCCTCACGTTACTGTGAATCGAGAACTTCTCTAGAAAGTAAAATCTATTTTTAAAAATGAAAATTGTGAAAAGAAAGATACAAAGTCATCCCATTTTAGAAATATATTCACATATGGATTTGCACACGCAGGTCTGGGAGGATGTATTCTGGGGGATCACTTGCAGTTGGCTGGCACAGTGTGTTAGGAAGAGTTTCTCTTTTCTTCTTTTGGCTTAGGAGGAAAAAAAAGTCACTTAAAAACTCTTTCAAGGAACTCTATCATCATTTAATTTAGAAATTGCTGGAGAAGATAAGGCCTAAGGTTCTGCCATCCTCACACACTTGTGATTGGATGCTGAGACCCAACCAATTGGTTGGGAGGACGGACTCCAAATTAGAGACTGAATACCAAGCCCATTTGATGAATGAATGCAAACTGACTGATGGATCTGTAAGGGCCCTGATATTTCTACCACGAAAGACTTCTGTTTTTACTTTGCTTTGTGATTCCCATTTTGAAAGATTTTGTCTACCGGAAAGACTGTATACGTTGTATAATCATTCATTCGTTTTCGGGGCGCCTGGGTGGCTCAGTCAGTTACGCGTCCAACTCTTGGTTTCGGCTCGGGTCACGATCTCAGGGTCATGAGATCCAGCCCCGCGTCGGGCTCTGTGCTTAGTGGGGAGTCTGCTTAAGACTGTCTCTCCCTCTCCTTCTGCCCCTCCCTCTGCATACTCTCTCTCTCTCTCTGTCTCTAAAATAAATAAATCTAAAAAAAAGAATTCATTCCTTTTCCTAGCTTTTCCTATACACACTGGTATGTGATAACCAGGGTTAACACACTGGTTAGTTGCTATCATCCTAAGCAAAAGCAAAGAGATCTGGCATGCTCATTCATTTGTCCTGCTGATTACAGGGAACTGTACAATGTTCATTAAGCTTCTTTATGTTTACAAAATAGTTCGGTGGGTCGATTACTATGCAGCTATGAGACTAAACAAACCACAACTACATGCTACAGTATGTAGTCGCAACGCTGAGAAATGAGACCCCAAAGAGTACATACAGTATAATTCCATTTATATAAAGTTTCAAAAAAAAAAATGGGCAAAACTACGGTGTTAGAAGTGTTTGCGGAAAGAACTGGGAAGAACTAGAAAGGGATAAGCAAGGGGCTTGTCAGATGCTGGTCATGCTCTATTTCTTGATCTTGGTGCTGGTCCACTGGGTGTGTT